AAAAAAAAAAAAAAAAAAAAAAAATAAGAAAGAAAAAAAATCTATCGGTACTAAGAGAAATTAACAAAGCAAAAATAAAAAATAATAAAACTATGGATCAATCAAATAAACAAGGAGAAAAAAACAATTTCAAAAAATAATTCTCATACTATTATTGTTATCACATTCGGCTCCGAAGCCATTTAATATGTACAGAGCCACTCCGGGTGCGAATTGTCATTGGCGACCATAGGTACCCGGGTACCTATAGATGCAGCCTTTCTTTAATTCAAAAAATTATTGGACTGGATGATTTTTGTTTTACCTCGTCAATGACCGTCACAATTGTGAAAATAAAATACAAGTTATTTATTTCCACGGTCTCTATCACTTTACATTTATACATTACAGATATTTTAGATCTACTAGTATTAGATGCAAAAGCTATTTTTATTTTACCAAATCTATAGTTATAAAACGTGAGTTGTCCTTTATCAATCTTTTGTTCCAGACCAATTAAATCTGGATTCATATCGGTGAATAAATATTTTATTATGATCTCAACTTCAACTAGTCTTAAAAAAAGTAAAATAATAATGTAATCAGTTGTGCATGTTTTCGTTTTATTTTTGACACTGTTTATTAATGTCACTACAAATTTTACTTTTAGGGGAAGGGATAGAAATGGAAGAGCAGGTGGCGTGGTAGCTCCATTTTTATGTCAACTCTATTTTATTTTGAATCTCAGCTGTATATGAATTGTGTCGTGATACATCGGTACTAATTATGACTCTCGTTTTGCACACTCCTCACTTCATCATATGCCCATGCAAACATTAAAGGAACAATTTTCAGGCATTTAGAATAGTTGGAGTAACCTTGATACTTTATTGAATACGATCAAGAACAATGTTTAAAGGCATAAATAGTCATTAAAGAAAAAGGAAGAGACTAAAAAGCACTTTTAAACAAATTTCTTTTTATTTAGGAAAAAAAAAAGCTTAAGTTTACATTAATACACTGTACATTTAATATTAAATCATACTTTATGACAGGTAAAAATAATGTAGTGCCATATTTGGATGTATGAATGCAGTACATGTCTATAATGAAATTTAAAAAAAAAAAATCATACTAATAACAGTTAAAAGAAGCTTAAGTAAGTGGAAGGAATATCTGCACATGTATTAGCAGTATAGGATACTGAATGTCATTTTCAAATTTTACAAAACAATGTACCGGTAGGACAAAACCCAAGAAGGCTCATTTAAAAGAAAATGGCTAGTGATCTGTGCCAACTAAGTGATCAGCTGAGAGGAGGAGTTGTTTTTTTATATTTGATCTTTTGTGGTGGATTTTTAAAAAATACAAATATGGTGATCCTGTCATCATCACATGGAAACACTATAATTTAATTAATCAACAGTAAAATAATATTTGGAAAATCATATCCCTTAGATTAGTTAGATACGGTAACTTTCAAACCTTTAACCTATAGCAGAATACTTGTAAGAAAATATACACAAAATGAGACTGCAACAATTAATCTCTAAGGATAACACTATTTCTACTTCCCTTTTTTCATTAAAAATTACCATAAAACATTGATTTTTAATTGAGAAATATTTTGATAGAAATTGGGAGAGAAAACTTCAAAAAATTTTCTTGGACTTTGATATGAATTCGTATTACATGTACAGAGTTTGGAAAATAATTTTTGTATGACTTTACTAAAGTCTAGAATTGTTCTGTTCATGAACAAACATTGAGTTTGAAAAACTATCTCATGCTGTGATGCAGTAAATAATAAGGAAAATTTGTGTTACAAACCAGCCATAGATTATGCTGTTTATAGTCAGTAAAGATTAGTTAAAATACAATATATACAAATATAGATTGAAGCTTCCCCCCCCCCCCCCCCC